AAAACAGAACATAACCCTGACACAAGTTCTTTCGAGATGGAAATATCATTTATTTGTAAAACTATAAAGCAAGCAGCGTCTTTCAGTCGCTTTTGTGTTCAGACCTGTACGACTATACTGCAGTGTTTTCATTCTCTTTTTTACCCGTTTATCCAGTTGTTTCTGATTCATCCTCTGTCAAGCAGAATAAATTTGTTCAACTAGCGGTTTATTCCCTTGTTTAAAAACAAACAACCTAACTGTGCAGGCTCACTTTTCTTAAAGGCATATCATTCGTTACTTTAATTTGGACAGATCATGTTAGACCAGCGAAAATTTTATGCTGGTAAAATAATAAATCAATTGCTAAACTGGAATTGCTTTGGAAATGGAATTCGATACTTAAACAATGCAAAGATAGAAAAAGCTACCATATGCACTAGCTTTGTTTTTTAAATTTTAATACTAGTATTTAGTTTGGTTAGATTTGTTCCGCTTCTGTCCAACAGAGGGCAGAACCTGATCAGATTAGATCCAAGCCTGACAGGAAAATAACAGCCTTATCATTCAAGTCATTCTTCTTCTTTTTACTTAGATTTGCTGAGGTGAAAAACAAACAACAACAAAACAATATATTTCTGGAGATGTAGCCTACACAGTAATATACAGGCCCCCATTTGCACACAGGATTTGCTGCTTTTAGAGCAAAATTATTCAGGAAATGGCCGACAATTCACTCTCCTGATGAAGCATTTTTCCTTAAATTGCCACATTTTAAAATAACCACCCAATCATGTTGGTGGACAAGACACGTCAGTGTGATGAACACACTCTTGTTCCTCTGTGTGCGGCTCTAGAGGTTTGTGTCGCAGCTGTTTCTTTCCCTTAGTGCCCCGTGTGCAATAACACACAGAATAAAGCAGCATGAAAAACTCTGAGTTGTGTACAGGAGATGAATAATACAGCAGCTGCAGTGTGGACATTATTGCTTTGTTTTCATAATTCAGCCAAATGTTGCTGTGAAGCAGATCTTTTTCTTATGTCTTGTGTTGACAAGGCTTTTTCTCGTGCTAAAATAGATTAGTAGATTCAATAAGGCACCAGACAGATAAAAACAATATGCAAATGTAGCTGTAGTTTTATTTTCCTTTCATCCAGTCTGCCCGCCTCCAGTGCATTCAGTTTTCTCACAGATCAGGTTAAATAAGCAATACTTAAAATAATTTCATATCTCACTGCCTCCACAGAATACATATTACATATGCCAGTGAAGCAAGATTACATTAACGATTTGCACATCATGACCTTCACAGCTTACAGTATAAATGCAATCAGTAGCCTAAAGCAATTTATTTACATGAAGTATCGGCCTTACGCAAACTGACACAAAACACATGCAAGACATTTTCACAAAATCAAATTCATCCAGGTCAAACAATTTCCAAACTCATCAGCAAACTGCTAATATAAGTGAATAACAAAGACATTCATTAGTTTAATGTTCACTCATTGGTTGCATGTCGATGCTTGTATACTTTCATAGATTTTGTTCAAATCTTGCTATTTCTGCATATGTGAGTGTGACCCTGAATCATAGAACCAGTCTCGAGTCGCACGGGTGGATCAGTGGCAATAGCCAACAATACACTGTATGGGTCAAAATTATCATTTTTTCTTTTATGCCAAAAATCATTAGGATATTCAGTAAAAATAATGTTCCATGAAGATATTTTGTAAATTTCCTTCCGTAAATATATTAAAAAATATTTCTGTGAGTGAATGCCGCACAATCGCAAACATAAATGCACAACATTAAAGGAGATTTTCTCAATGTTTTTGCACCCTCAGATTCCAGATTTTCAAATTTGCATCTCAGACAAATATTGTCCCATCCTAACAAACCATACATCAATGAAAAGTGTATTTATTCAGCTTTCAGATGATGTATAAATCTCAATTTAAAAAAAAAAAGACCCATGTGACTGATTTTGTTACCATATGGGTAACACTTTATAATAACTACACGCTAATAATCATTAGTTAAGCATGAGTAAACAGTTAATTCATCATTCATAAAGCATTAATAGACATTAATAAGCAGTTTATAAATACAGCTATAAATGCTTTCTTCTTGATTTACAAGCATATCTATAATTTATTTAATAATTGTATTTTCATCCTTTATTAATGATCAATTTATTATTTCTAAATGATTAATTGCATTTTTTATAAACCAGTTATTTAAGAGTTTTCAGTGGTTCATAAGATCACTTAGAACGTGTAAGTAAATGATTAATAAACTATTTAAATGTACATTCATACATCTTATTATTCAGACATATAGTGATGGTTACTTAGTGTGTTAATAAGTGCTTTATTAACATGTATTTATGCTGTAATTCAGGGTTAATTCGGGTAGTTATAAAGCAGTTAGTAGTGGTCAGTTAACTATGTTTGTGAGCTCATCTAAAGTGAGGACTATTCATGCCTTGTAAAGCATTTATAAAGGAGATTTAAAGGCTGTTAAATATTTCTATGTTCTGTATCACTGTGTTGTGTTTGTTACATTTTACTGTTTAGAAGATTGATGCGCCTTCAAATCTCCTTTATAAATGCTTTACAAGGCATGAATAGTCCTCACTTTAGATTAGCTCACAAAATAGTTAACTGACCACTACTAAATGCTTTATAACTACCTGTATTTACTACATTTACTCACACTTTCTAAGTGATCTTATGAATGACTGACAACTCTTGTTTGTAAATAATGCTATACTTCATTTAGAAATTATTAATTGGTCATTAACAAGGTATGAAAATACAATTATTAAACGCATTATAGATATGCTTATAAATCAAGAAGAAAGCATTTATAGCTGTATTTATAAACTGCTTATTAATGTCTATTAATGCTTTATAAATGATGAATTAACTGTTTACTCATGCTTAACAAATGATTAATAGCATGCAGTTATTATAAAGTGTTACCCATATATGCATATGCAAATTTCATGTATGCATGTAGAGTAACACCCAGAACTGACAAAATTTGCATTATACAACAAAGCACATTGTGTAGAGACTGTATCCCACAATGCAATGGATGCACATATTTTTAACCATGGGATCAGGTTTGGCAGCTGCTTTCTACAAAGCAATGACAGCGGTTCAATATTTGCTGTGTTTTCTGACGACATGAAGTCCATATATATCACGAATATTTGACTCTTCTGAAGGGCTCTTGAAGCATGAAATGGACTTAATGTAACAGCTCAAAATAGTCACTGGTGAAGGGTTTGGGATAGTGTGCGCTCTTGTAGTGCCATCAGCCAATCAGAGCTGTGATGATGTCATCTCATATGGCCCACATGACTAATGGTTCAGTCGATTGACTCGGAAAACTGTGGCGCCATAAACAGAGATGGTGGATTTCAAGATCTCCAGGTGTGTTATTGATCCTGATCAGTCACATGACAGTTACAGCTCGTGCGATTGGCTGTTTAGTGTTTCCAGATGTGAGAGCCTCTCCACAGCTGACTCCGGACTTTACGAGTGAGAGTTTTGCACAAGCTTGGATGATGATAAATGGACATTAAACCTGCACAAAATAATGTCATGTGGCAATAACACAGCTTACTTCTGTGTGACATGTTCGTCGTTGTGTAAAGGCAGCGTAGGGAACAACGAGGCTCAAGGCTTTTTCATATCTTCACCACAATCACTTCAAAGTTTGTACCATTTTCTATTTAGTTTGATAAATAAAATAAGTTATTTTTGTCATTAAATAAAAAAAAATACAGAAAAAAATATTATTTAAAGTAAATGCAAAGATTCTGAAAGCTTTTTACGCTGCTTGAGGGAGAATACAATATTGCTGCATGGTATAACAATACATTACATTTTATTATATGAAATTAATAATGTCATATTTTTTAAATATGATGGTTTGATTACAATTATGGTGACGTTTTCAAAGGTGTATACCCAACTTCAGAAATTATATTATTAATAAATGACCATCTGAATCTAACCATGTCATGTCAAATGGAAAAATCAGCTATTTATTATCACTTTTACATATTCTTCAGTTGAAAAACTGTTGATTTAATTACTTCTAATTACTATTAAATCAATAATAAGACCTTTATAAAAAAGAAGACTATTCAAGTGGGCTATTCTCTTAAAGTCCCCCTGTGGTGTAAATCCAGCTTTAATGTTGTTTCTGTGTCTATGTGGTGTTTTTAATACGCTTTAAGACACACCATGTGTAAGTTCATAAGTCGACAGCATTGCTGAGTATTTTCTGCTTAAAACTGCAGTGAACCAAAGACAGTCTCAAAAACACGGTTTGAAATCGCTGGTGTTTCTGACGTCACAAACGACCTTGTAACCAATCAGATCAACGTGTGATCGTCAACCAGTGGATCTCTGAGCTGAGTGAGTGAGTGGAGGCGGGGCTCATTTGCATATTCATAGAGCCGCGCATACTAAATGAGGCAAGGTGTCGAGTTACATTCAAGATATTTTAAAACACGAAGAAATGATGAGTTTTAAAGGATAAAATTATTGACTACAGGGGGACTTTAAAGAAAACTTACAGGTATACTTGCAGTATACAACAAAACTAGAGTTTACTGAGAGTATACTTCAAAGTTCACTTTCATAAACTAAAAAGTATACTTTTATACACTAAAAAGTTGGTCAATTTATTCCCAAGTTCTATTGAAATAGTACACTTAAAAGTACATTGATATCATTATACTTTCAACATAAGTATACTTAAAATGTACTTGAACTTTAAATAAGTATACTTAATAAATGTATCTCGAAGTATACTTATTTTGTATAAGGGCCGCCAAACTGAACCGTAGATGTTTAGGAAAGTGCAGCGGTGAGTTTTTGTGCCAATCTAGTGGTCTACTGGAGATTAAAATCAAATGTGCCTTTATCCCTTACCGTATATGTACTGTATATGGACTGTATACTGTAATACTCTTCTGCAGACGAGAAGCTCTTGGCGATCAGACAGCAGCCGCGGGCTGGCCCTCAGGGGCCCCGTTCACTATCATCCCTCTCAGTGAGCGAGTCCTGAAGGAGCCCTCGGGGTAGATGGAGTCGGGCTTGTGTTCGCAGCGGAAGAACATGAGGAAGCCGTTCCTGTAGTTCTGGTTCATCCAGCCGTAGAGCAGCGGGTTGACGAAGGTCGAGCACATCGCCACGATGTGAAACAGGGTGTAAATGAGTTTGTACTCTTTGAACTTGAGAATCAAGTCGAGATCGCTGGCCAGCTGAAACACGTGGAAGGGAAGCCAGCAAACGGCGAAGACCACGACCACTAGCGCTAGCATCTTAGTGGTCTTCTTCCGGCGTACGAGGCCGTCGCTGCGACTGGACGGGCTAACGTGGTTCTTCAGCTTCATCCAGATGCACACGTAAGCATAGCTGATGATCGCTAACGGGACCACATACTGCAAGAGGAGCATGGAGACGCTGTAGACGACGTTGGTGCCGCTAGGCCATTTCTCCGAGCAAACCGCGATGCGTAAATCAATGTATGGGATTTCCTCGTAGCGATACTCTCGGAAAATCGCTAGCGGGCCGGCTAGCACGGCGGCGAGCGTCCAGGTCAGGCCGATGATGATGAAGCTGGTGCAGCGATTGAGGCGCTGGCCGAGGTGGAAGACGATACAGCGGTAGCGCTCGACGGCGATTACCGTTAGCGTGAGAACGGACACGTGGACGCTGAGAGCCTGGCCGTACGGCACCATGTGACACATCACCGCGCCGAATTTCCATTCGTCCAGCAACGTGTAAACCAGCGTGAACGGCAAACACACCGAGTCCACCATCAGATCCGCCAGGGCCAGATTCGCAATGAAGTAGTTGGTGACGGTGCGCATGTTTCGGTACAGGACGATCATGTAAATGACGAGGGTGTTTCCCACAAGTCCTAGCAGGATTATGAGTGAATATGCAAAGATCAGAGAGATCTGAACGCCCAGGTGTTTGGTGATGTCGTCCACAAACGCTGGTTTGTAAGTGTTGATGCTGCTGGCGTTTCCCACATCTCCATCGTGGAGCGTGTCCTCCGTTGCATTGGCGTGATCTGATTGGCCCATACTGACCTGGATTTACAACACAAACCTGTCAGAAAGAAGAGAAAACGTTCAATTCCGTTTCCAAAATGGCTGCCCATACAGAATATGTGGAGGTCAATCACATGACACAAATGCATTTCATACATCCACTGACCTGAATACACCTCTTCTACGAATGTTTTTAACCCTTGTGCGTCAGTTAAAAAAAGTTACACATAGCAATCATAGTGATAGATTAGTGTTGAAGTGGAAAAAGTTTAAAAAGTAAAACCAATAAAATATATTTTTTATATTTTATGAAATGTGTTGACCTCTAAAACTGCTAGAAAATCAAAACCATAAATCTAAACGAGTCGTGTTCCAAATTTGAGGTTGATATCTTAAAAAATGAGCTTTCAGAGAGAGTGTGTTTGGGCGCAGTGACACATCTTCCCCTATAGATGCAGCAAAGCCCACTGGGACACAGCGGCTGATTTACAGTAGAGTTTTTCTCTCTAAAAATATTATTACAAGCACACACACACACACACACACACACACAATTATAACTGCATAATTTATCAAATTGGCTCTATAATATGCAGAAGCAGAAAACAGGAATAAAGTGTGTTTTTTTCTCTATAGGCCAAACCTGAGAAAATGGCTCCATCTGGGAAAAAAATAGTACTTTTTTTTTTTTTGAAGCCTTGCCAACTTGAAAGCCACTTTACAAAGATTGCATCATTTTATAGTTAAACGGCCCTGGGATTAAAAATTGCAATTTAAATGGGGAGATTTTTCATGTCCTGAAGGTCCTGAGAGGAACTATTGTGTGTTACTAGTGCAAAATAGGTTTATTAAAGGAAATGGGGGTGAAATAGTAAAATTCCAATGTAAATACACACCTGTGCCAAAATATATACAAATGGCATTATTAACACAGACAAAATGATCAAAAAGACAAAACTGAAAAAGACAAAAATGTCCACAAGGGCTAATTTCTGAATTAAAGTTGTAATTAAATTACAATAATGCTTACAACTTGGCAGAGGCTATTTGCACTAGTTACTGTTTGCTCCTCTGTGTATTAGTACATTATAAAACATATTAAGTGTATACTAAACCCCCCATTCCTATTACAGTCACCATGAAATCAAAATGGACAATTATTGCTTTTTATAATGGAATATTGCAGTTTCTTATTAATGATTTATCAGTGCATATCATTATAGTTTTAAATACGTGTGCTTTGTAATCTTGAATCGAATTAACTTGCAGCATCTCTTCTCTTCTCTGATGAGGGGGGCGGGGCTATAACCTGTCACTCACATGAGATCAGCCAATAGCAAACCACAACCGTCCAATCAACTCCCCACAGACACAATCAAGCCCCGCCCACATGTGTTCTTGTTCCTGAAGCGTTTCACTCCATAAACGACACAATAGAGGAGAAAAGACCAGCTCAACTTCTGTTTCATGACTTAAGGACTTGTCAGGCATGTACTTTAATGTTTTCTGTATGCGATGGGAAGAGGAAGGCGAATCAGATTGTTTTGTGTCAAAAACTAACTGAGCTTTACTCTCCACAACACTGCTCCTGTTATCAGATGTGTTTCTTTTGTAATTTTGTCTGATGAACCAGATAATGGTGGACTTAGTCTAAATAGCTTTTCCCAACAAGCAACCAGTCTGAAGGTGATTTATACTCAATATATGAACAGTATTTTTAACCATTTAAAACCCAGAACTACTTTCGGCACCACATACTTGCTCTAAATGATACTCTGATATTAGTTCATAACATGATGACTTTCAGAAAAATGAAAAGAAGACATTAGTGTTCACTAGTCTGTTGGAGGCACAGTATGTGGACTTTGTTTTAAGAACATATGAAACGGGGGGAAAAACAGTTCACATTTCATTGCACATGTTCAATTATAAATGCACGTCAGAGATCTCCTTCTCAGCATGGAGGATTTTTTAGATGACTTCTGAACATGTCTTTTCTCTTTGCTCTGAATGAGACATGCACACCTGATGAAATATGTAGTCATAATATATCATTACAACACCGCAAGCCACATAACCCAGAGTTAGTTAATGACATCATTAGACTGAGAAATGGCAGCGGAGATATTGGCGTTTCACACAGTTTACACAAACACAGCCATCTTTGATGTTTTTGTATCATGTTCAATCAAAGCTAGTATTAAAAGACGACTATCATGCTACCAAAAAATTAAACTATATTTAATTACAAAAAGGTTAACGAGGCCCTTTTCTGCTCATGAGAGATGGATAGAGCTTCATTAAAACCCAATTTACAGGCAGCTCAAAGCAAGACGATGCCGAGCGTTTCCAAGAGTGATTGGAGCTCATGAGCACATTTAGAAGTGCCTATATTGTCATTTAAGCTGATTATATGATTCGAACTGTATGGACAGCTATTTGCTCAAGGGGAAATGAAGATTGCCTATAAAGACCTTGACATCTTCGGTCATTTAGAGACTGAAAACAGAAACACTGCTCTAATGCGGTCTTCCCTCCACAAGAGATGACGCCGGCTGTACAGGACACTCCATCTTTCCAGGGTGCATTGAATTAAAAGAAGGAAACTAGGTTGTAACACTGTTTTTAGCTGATGGGTATTTCTATTGTTCCTTATAAAAAAAGTATTGCCTCCATTTGTTACTGAGCTATAGCCGTTCAGAGATGTGAAGGTGTGTACGAAAGCTTTCTGGCCATGAACATGATATAACCATTTGGTACCGGGTTTTAACCCTTTAAAGTCAACATGAAAAGGCATTCACATTCTACTTTTCTTCCCAATATGTATTTACCAAAATATCCATTGGAAAAGAAGTGGATGATCCATTCCTGAACTGAAACAACTGCTAATATAGCGTTTTAATTAGCAGTTATATGCTAATGATAACTGCTAATATAGCGTTTTATAGCATATTAGCAGTTATATGCTAATGATAACTGCTAATATAGCGTTTTATAGCATATTAGCAGTTATATGCTAATGATAACTGCTAATATAGCGTTTTATAGCATATTAGCAGTTATATGCTAATGATGACTGCTAATAATGATAACTGCTAATATAGCGTTTTATAGCATATTAACAGTTATATGGTAATGATAACTGCTAATATAGCGTTTTATAGCATATTAGCAGTTATATGCTAATGATAACTGCTAATATAACGTTTTATAGCATATTAGCAGTTATATGCTAATAATAACTGCTAATATAGTATTTTATAGCATATTAGCAGTTATATGCTAATGATAACTGCTAACATAGCGTTTTATAGCATATTAGCAGTTATATGCTAATGATAACTGCTAATATAGCGTTTTATAGCATATTAACAGTTATATGCTAATGATAACTGCTAATATAGCGTTTTATAGCATATTAGCAGTTATATGCTAATGATAACTGCTAATAATGATAACTGCTAATATCATTATTAGTTATATGCTAATGATAACTGCTAATAATGATAACTGCTAATATCATTATTAGTTATATGCTAATGATAACTGCTAATAATGATAACTGCTAATATAGCTGTTTGACTTTTGGTTAAAGGTACAACTATGTATCTTTGAAAAAACCAAACTGCACGCATTTTGTGGAAGAACATTGTTGTGGTTGTGCGTGACTGTGTGGATGAATATTATTTCTCATAACTAAAAAGAAAGCGAGAGAGAGACAGATGATCCTCCTGCTCATACAACATTGACTTAAAGAGGACCTATTATGCAAAAATCACTTTTATATTGTTTTTGAACATATTTATGTGTCCACAGTGTGTACACAACCAGCATATTGTGGTAAAAACCTGAGCGTTTCACAGCAGCGTTCAAGTATGAAATCGAATCGGTTACCTAACGTAACCTCGGTTCTCTCTAGAAGAGGGAACGAGTATTGCGTAAGCTAGCTTACGCTGCGGGAAAGATTCATCTTTGCTGAGATATTGAAGCCAAAAAATTATTTCATAATTTTGTATCCATACACAACGCAGTTCCTCTGCGGCAGACCTAGAGCGGGCTAGCTAGCAGCTCATTGGTTCGCTCAGAGAGAACTGCTTAAGCCTATGGGAGAGCGGGGCTGAACCCGCTTCCAATGAGAGGCGCCCGCGCGCTCATTGCGTCATGACCCGCCAGAATGGGCGTGGCCATGGTGTATATAAGGAGCTCTCCCAGGCTTATATGTTGATTTATTTCAGCGTGAAGCGAAACGCTAGTAGCGCAAGCACGGCCGGGAACGCAATACTCGTTCCCTCTTCTAGAGAGAACCGAGGTTACGTTAGGTAACCGATTCGTTCTCTTACGAGAGGTTCTCTCGTATTGCGTAAGCTAGCTTATGCTGCGGGAACACCTGGCCAACGCCGTGCGCGCTACGAATCCACTCATGAAAAAACCCAGGGATATACCGGGGGAATTTTTTAACGTGGAGTGAATGTACAAAGAGGCCGCAGAGCGGGCTCATGAAGTGTACACATAAGCATGTATGGGGCCAGCAGAGCGGGCACATGAAGTGTATAAGCATTACAGGAGAGCACAAGGGGCGAACCGGTTGTGAGGGACCTCCAGAAATGCAGCTTCTTAGAGAGCTGTTCGTCAGACAGCTAGTAATTTTGCCTGCAAGGCGGGAACTTCCAAGTTATAAAACCTGACAAAAGTGGACGGGGAGGCCCATCCCGCGGCCACACAAATGTCATGAACGGAAATTCCACAGGACCATGCCCACGATGAGGCCATGCCTCTAGTGGAGTGCGCCCTGATGCCCAGAGGGCAGGGCAGGCATTTAGATGCGTAAGCAGAGGCGATAGCGTCCACTATCCATCTAGACAGTGTCTGTTTTGAGGCGGCCAGACCCTTGGTGCGCCCCCCAAACGACACGAAAAGCTGCTCAGCGCGTCTGAACGCGGCAGCGCGCGTAGTGTACAATCTCAGAGCCCGCACCGGACAAAGGAGATTGGCATCGCGCTCACTATCGGATGAAGGCAGAGCCGATAGGGAGATAATCTGAGCCCTGAACGGGGTATC